TTTTCCGATAGTTGTTTATTGTCAGAATTTTAGAAAATGTGGATTTCTTTGTTAAATTAAGTTTTTGGAAAATCCTGTTCTGAGCTTGGACGCCCAAACTATTCAATCAAAAGTATAGTTCTTGTGTAAAGAAATGTATGCTCGTTGGAAAAAAATGGTCGGAAAAGATAAACGGGTAGAAAAATAGGTGATTTAAAAGTGATTCTATAGTTTTTTGACAAAGTTCAGAACGAAGCTTTCTGGATTCGTACCTTCCACAAATCGGTTCTCCTCCAGACTTTGCACACAGTTTTCTGCTATCAAAGAAGGGCCACACTAATATTTTCGAGTCGAACCGATCAATAGAAAGAAAGTTACGGGCAAAAAACGCTTGATTCTATAGTTATTTGACAGAGTGTATGAGACTTACAGATGCCAACTTTATCGCAGGAGCTATGGAAGCTGCTGTAACTACGATAACTCCTTTCAGCCATCCAATAAATATATGAGAGCTGATAAATGTAAATGAGGACATTCCCATAACATTTAAAAAGTCCTAAACAAATAATTTTCCAAAAAAAGGTTTAGATACCTTTACACCAGTCTCCTTTTCCGTGGCTATCTCTCTTCCGGTATGGATTAGGACCGGTAGTAAGATACCTCCCAGAATAGCGCTATAAAAGCTGAACACATCCTAAAATAACAAAATTAAAGAAATTCTAGAGAAACTCACAATCCAGCTCTGATAGTGAAGTCCGGACCAATACATCACTTCGCCAATGATCGATTGTGGGGGTTTATTAAGCCCGGATACCTAAGGATAGAAACGAAAATAATGTTTTTTTTTCAGTTGAAACTTACATTCATAAAAGCAGCATTTAGCGAATGAATGAATTCTAGGTATTGCATCTGCCAAGTACCGTAGTTCTAAATGCTAGGTGTGGCTGGCCAAGCGGGCTGTGCTTACCCCCCACCAGCTCTTCCCAATATTTGCATACGGGTCCTCGTTTTGCCAGTCTTCGCCGAGACCGTCATTTAAAACCCAGTTTGGGTAGAAGACGCGGTAGCTGAACTTCTTGGTCGCTGGGTCGATCTCATCGATCATGAAGCCCAAGCTGATTGAGGCCGAGGTTTGGTCGTAGCTAAAAATGGGAAAATTGTCATATCTTAGATTTAAGGATACTTTAAACCCTAAAACTACTTACTTATATGGTTGTTGCAACAAATCAAACAACTCCTTCTCAGTCGCCACCGGATTTAATCCACAATTCGTGCCGTATTGCGTTTTCCGGGCACAAGTGGTATTTATTAAGTTGTAAACGATGCTATGATCCACGGTAGGACCAACACTAAAAATATACATTTTGTGTAAATAGGTTTTTTCATACCTAAAAGCATATTGTTCAACCCCGGTCCAATGGTCCCTAATTTCTTGAGGAGCATAATTAAAGTCCATATTAATCTCGTCGCCGTCTTTGAATATCAAAATTGAAACCGGGATCCCGATAATTAAGGGTAGAATCAGCTCGATGACTGTCCATAATCGGCTCCTCCACATCACCAAGAAGTTCTTCTGGGTCATCAACCAGAAGAGCCTCATCGTGGCGGCTGAAGTCATTTTTAAAATAATAAATTTGAATCAAGAATCTGCCAAAAGCTAGGCACGTATTTTCGCGGAATAAAAGTGATTGCGTAGTAGCGAATCAGGATATAGGCGTCGGAAATGGGCAGGGTTGTCAGTGAGCTCGGACTTTTTTTTGGGGCCGGATATTGGCAAGATTTTTGAAAGCACCTGTTTCGCCAAACCACACTTTTTTTGGAGGTTATCTGGGAGTGTGATTCTAGGGGTCAGAAAAAAAACTTAATTTTAAAACATTTGAAGAAGGTTTAGGTGCAAAGCGGAAAAAGGAAATCTGGCAAAAGTCATGTCGTTCTGGAGGCTTTGAGCGGGGATGACGAATTCTTTGGAATCGTTTTCCGATAAGGGGAGAAGCAGTGAGACCAATATTTCGGGGGCCTTGAAGGCTTTGAAATCGGCATTTCAAAAGATTTTAAAAATAACAAAAGGTCGGGATTTGTTTGTTAAAGTATCTTAATGAACGGCCATCAATTACCGCTCAAAACTACCATGAATCTATTTGAAAAGTTTAAATTTTGCAGAAAATACTAAGATGTAAATTTTTGCCCATTTTTTATAAATCTACCCTTCTAAATTTCTCTAATACTTTTAAGAGTCGAAAAACACTTCCTAACGACCAAAAATCGAGCTTTATTTGCTCCCACAAGGCAGGTGATAAGAAAACCGCGCTCTAAATGAAAAAAAAACAATTTTTAATAAACCCGATCCTCTATTGCTTATTTTCAAAGAAAAAGACTAAAGAGCGCTTTGAACGTCACGCAAACCAACGCTAAAACTAAAAATTGTGCTCCCAGACCTTGCAATGATAAAGTCATGACTCACCTCAAAGCTGACAATTCGACGCTTCTTGTTCCGAATTTACGGCTGTTCAAATATTGGTCATCTTCAGCGGAGGCATCAAGTTATGGCGATCAAGGAAACGTTGTGAAACTGGGGGTAAAAAGGGAGAAGCGGGCTTAATTAGCGGGGCCAAGTGCGCATTTTGAAGGGGGAGGCCGGAGGGTGGGCTGAAAATAAATCGTGCGCAGGTTGCACCGGATTCAATTACCTCAGAGAAAAAGGGGGTCTTTTTGGGGAATTATTTGTTTGTGGATCGGATGACGTGGGTTTGGAGAAGGTGGAGAATTGTGATATTTACTAATATACCGTACTATACAGTAAGATACACCATTATCCCGTAATATACCGTAAGCTACAGCACGCTACAGCAACTCTTAATTTTGAACATGGTCCACCGTTTTGTAAATATTTTGGAATAGTAGATTTTAGCCTTTTCCTCAGACATATTGTATAGCTTTGACATCTGTTTATACAAAAAGCAACTGGCCAAGGGAGATATCCGAAAAGGTCAACAGCTGTTCTTGCGCAACCATCCAAGGGGCGGAGCTTGCACCTGTATTATGCTAATCTTAAGACCCACATTCGGTTCCTCATCCTAATTTTTGTCTGCGTAAAATCTGAAAATGCTAGCTAGAATTTTTCTGCTATTTTGCATACCTTACCTATCACTCGCTGATGGATCTAACGAATCGTCACTCTCCATTAATGAACCTTCCCGAAATTACAATGTCATCATCACAAGGCCAAATGTCAAGAATGTAAGTGAAAGGTATGCGTTGTTTTTATGTTTTTTAAGGGAAATGACGCTACAGTATGTGGAGGGGCCTTAATTGCTAAAAATGTCGTCTTGACCTCGGCGTACTGTGTGGATGGACTCCGCCTAAATCACAGCTATGTTGGCTCGGAAGTGGAAAATAATGTGAAGCCTTGGCTCCGGAATAATAGTCGGGTGATTGAAGTGGCGAAACATCCGAAATGGAAAATCGGGGTAATTTTGACTTATTAACTCATCCTACTATATATAAAAAAATAGTGTTTGTGTGTGTGTGTGTGTGCCACTTTGCATGCAACTTCCGTCAGCGTGTTCCAGCAGTATCTCAAGAAGGAGCGTAGCTAGGGGCATGTTTGATACATCATTAGGAGCGTAATGGTCTGGGGATGACTGCACGCATATCAGATTTACCAAAATCGCCTATTTTCGACATTAAATTTTAGTTTTTGTTGAAAAATCCGAGACCCTCTTTGTTAGGAATATATTAGCATACGCCGGAAGTGGGGATGGCCTATATAAAGGAGCAGAGAGCGCATTTTTCATTTTTTTTCAGCATGGGTCGGGCCGAATTATGCAAAGTAAAAACTTTCATTGGTCGAAAGCGGGGCCAGGGTTGAAAAGTCGCGAAGCGGCTTTTCAACCCTGGTTTAACGCTAAAATTCAGGAAAATACCTATGATATCGGGCTGCTTTTAATTGATCCTTTCAAAAACATCGACACCGAACCTCTAGCTCTGCCAAATAATGAGGATAACAATACATCATTGGAAGACTGGAAAATGTGCCATATTACAGGTATATTTGTATTTTTTTACTGCTTAAAGTCAGTTTTTTAGGCCCCACACATGGCTGGAGAAAAACTTGCATGCCGAGGGATTATCTAACCTCTTCGATTGGCATGATTGCTTCTGGGAGCGAGTGTGAAACGAATACGGTAAGAAAAGACAATGCTTGTTAAGTTTTTGATTCAGACACAAAAGATTACTCCCGGAAACTATTGCTTCTTTGCTACGCCAAATTTGCATACTTGCTATGGTGCAACTGGATCGACGGTGGCTTGTCAGGGGTATGGCTTTTTTAAAGAGATAGAGAGAGAGAGAAGAGAAAGCGATAGAGAGAGAGAGAGAAAGAGAGAGAGAAAGTGCAAGTAAAAGCACGGGTTTTACCTAATAACTATGTTTTTATAGACTTTTCGACGCCAAACCGACCCTTTTCGGACTCAGAACCACTCGAAAAGTCTGCTGCGTCGGCGAGGAGGGCTCAGACCCATATTTCCCGGAAGAAATTTTGCGGCTTGATGGGGAGAAGCTGGATTGGGTGAATTTGGAGATGGAAAAGCTGATGAAAAAGCAAAATTAACGATTTTTCGATTTTTCGGAATCTCGCTTTTGCGAGTAATTGTGTTGTACTCACTGTTGATCATATCTCATTTGCATAACGCGCCTCCCCGAGTTCTTCATTTCCACATTTTGAAGCTCACCCGCCGGATCTCATTGCCTTTTCTATGCTTTTGAATAAACATGCTTCAATTTTTAATTTCTTACACATTTGGAAATTTACCCAATGAGCTTTTATGGAAGTTCATCAATTTTTCTATCAAAAACACAAGAACATTCTAAAGCTTCCTGCAAGGAACTGGTACAATAACATTAGTAGCAACAGCCTTCTCCCCCCTAGCTCTGCCATCGGGATCTCGTTGTTTATCGGGAGGTGCGAGCATGAGCAGGCGTGGCAATCGCTTTCGGCTTCTTCTTCTTCCTCCCCCCTCCCTCAGTGGCGTTTCACTTTTGCCTCCGGGGCTCGCATAGCGCTAATAGCGTCTAATGGTTGGCCGGGTGCCGGGGATGAACGTCTTGGCGGTGCTGTTGTTCTACCTATATAGTTTGGCCCAATCTGGGGAAGCTGCTGGCAATAGTGTTTTGAAGCCATCTCATGTATTATCGCTAAGTATTCCGTTTACCAACCATTTACGGGCGAAGCGATACGGTAGGTGGCGTTTTTTCAATAATTTTTTCTAATAGCTTAAAACATTTCTTTTATTTTTTGGACCATACGCTTCTGAAATTTGTTATTTGCGATGAGAACATGAGTGACACAACCTATAATTTTCTCTTTGGAAAAACAAGGCTTTCAGTTTTGTAGTTTTGACGCGATTACGTACAAAAATGGACGTTTTAACTAAAAAAAACAGAATTTTACAGTACTTCGTCGGAAACGCTGGACAAAACGAGCGCTACGCTGGAAACTCAGCAAAAAGCACATTACGGAAGGCGACGAATTTGTTGTCAGGTAACCACGCTCTTTTGACCCAGCTTGGGCTTGGGCTTGGGCTTAGGCTTGGGTTAGGCTTAGGCTTAGGCTTAGGCTTAGGCTTGGGCTTAGGCTTAGGCTTAGGCTTAGGCTTAGGCTTAGGCTTAGGCTTGAGGCTTAACCTCAGCGCATCAATAACCATTGCCAATCTCTCGTTCCTCTAACCCCCAGAAACAGTTGATCGCCAACTTCCCCTTTCGAAGTTTGCACCACAGCCTCTGCTTACCAAGGCGCCGAATCGAAACTCCCTTTTTTTCAAAAGCCATTCACACCACTGCCGGGGCTGTTAGGAGGGGAGGGGAGAGGGTTTGTGTCAAAAACACCGTTCCTTCTTGAGGGGTGTTCCGTTTTGAGAGCGTGGAATGCCTGGGATGGTCTACTTTTTTGGGGTTGGATGGGTGAAACTTGGCAATCCAGGGGTTGGAAGATTGTGGAGGGGGAAGAAGTATCGGTTCGGATGGATGGGAGTACCATTTCACGGGTTTTACGGGGCAGCTGACTTGGTTGGGGAAAGTGATTTGGGGTCGTGGATGATTTAATGGGTCTGGCAAGGCAGTGATTTCGAAGAATTCGCAACGCGTAACCAATTACGCAATTACTAGCTTCGGTGTTGCGTTTTTTCGATTTTGCTAGATCCATTAAAATACGTTTCCATGTCATGCGCAAGTCCGAAAACATTGCGTAATGGAGTCGTGGCGCGTTGTTTTTGTAGCCTTGGTTCCCTTAGCTTTAATTAGCATTTTCATATGTTTCTTTTCTTCATTTTCGGTTCTAAATTAAGCCGCGCCCACCCTAAATATGCAAATCACCCACCCAAGTCCCAAGGTGACATTCCAGCCCCCTTAAAAATCACACCTCATCCTCCCCATCATGTTTTCACCACTCCCCACTACCACCCCCACACTCACCCATCCAATGCCACCTTTGATTAATGGCAAGAAAAGCGAAAGTCGGGATTGGGAAGTGCTCCTCCACCTCCCCCTCCTCCTGCTCCTTCTCCGGGTGGGGCTGCTACCCGGGTGAGCCTCAGATTTGAATGGCAGACCGGCTTCCCCCACCAGAATTGACCTCGAACCCCTCCCCGTCAGCCCCATCTACTTTAGCGCGGCATTGCTGTATAAACTGGAATCATTAAGTAAAGGTAAAGTGGGGTGGGTCGCATTTATGTCTAGAAAATGGCAAAGGTTTTAAAAACTCCCAAAAATTAACAAAATTCTAGAAATACACTCCACCGTGCCTTCAACAACTGGGCTGCAGTCTCTTCGGCCAAGTTTGAAGAAGTTTCCCAACATGAGGAGGCTGATATTGAGGTATAACTTCCGCAAAAGGAATTTCTAGACCCTCCTCCTTTATATTCGGGCTCCAAATCCAAAAAGCAAAAACATTCCAACCAACCGGATTCGAACCAGTGACCTAAGGATAGCTGCTGACTCTACAGTCCTCCGCTCTACCAACTGAGCTATGGTTGGGTCGAGAGAGGGGCAGGGGAGGGGGGCTGAAGAGGGAAAGGGCAGCCGGGGCCGGCAGTGCCCTCTTTCCCCAGTGCCGGGCGGGGGTTCAAAAAAGTGCGAAGAAAGGGGCTTTCGGTCTGGCAAAATTCAGAATATACTTTAGAAAAATCGAGATAAGTAAAATTCCATTTTTAGATTGGATTCGAAAAAGGACGACATGCCGATTCTTTTCCATTTGATGGAACAGGTAAAGGATCGCTGTTTTAAAAGTAATCAAGCGCAAAAATACTGTTGCAATAAATAGAGCAACGTCATATAAAGTATTTTTTTCTCTACTTTTCTCTCAAAGATTCAAATCTAATGTCTGGTCTGCCGGGACATGCCGAAATCATTCAAGCGTAAGAGCGGCGGTGAGACGGCATAGAAATTATCGGGGAGTAATCGGGGTGGGATCGGATGTCTAGGCTGAAATTTGCATGAATTTTAGAATTTAAATATGTAAAAAATAATAATCTTAATTTCAGATGGAATCGTCGCGCATGCATTTTACCCTCGAGACGGCCGGCTGCACTTTGATGCCGATGAAAAATGGACTTTGAATAGTGACGATGGCGTTAATTTGTATCAGGTTTTTGGTTTCTAAAAATAAGGAATTCCATCGCGTAACCATTTAGACAGCCGTCCACGAGATTGGTCACTTGTTGGGTTTGGAGCACTCGACGGACCCGAGAGCTGCAATGTTTGCTGCCAAGGTTTAGCACTTCTCCGCGCGTTGGACACCGTTTTTAGAGGCCCTATGACCCGGATTTTGGACTTGCTGATGATGATGTCAGGGCTATAAGAACCCTGTTTCCGGTTAATACAAATAATAATGTTGCGGCGAAACATTCGAGGATTGTAGTCCCGCCACGACGTAGGCTACGATTAGCTGGAAGCTAAAAAATCCGCTTTTTAGCAATATCAACGTATGAAATTAACTCGGAACTGGAACACATGCGATTTGTAAAGTACCCCCGGGTTATCGATGGCTTAGCACTGTTCCAAAAGGGTTATCGAAGGAAAAAGGTATTTTACGCGTCTATTAATGCCTTTCTAGATCCCAACCACTACCCCTTCAAGGATAAATTATGAATATGAATTCCAAACTACCACCAGAAAACCGGAATGGCCTATTAAAAGTGGGATTACTACAGGGTGGCCCGAAAGTACGTTGACCGGGTTTTTTCGTATTTTCTAAAAAACTACAAGTACTGGCAGGGTCATACTGACATAGGATATTTCTTATACAATTACTTTCAACAGGGTATTGTCACTTTTCCTATTGACTGACTTAAACTTGGAAAAACTGGCCGAGAAGATTGCTGAAAATGAGGTGCCGGCACGCGGGTACTCGGCGACGTATTTGCCCCATAACTCAGCGAAGCCTGAACTGAGGATGTTCAAATTTGGATGGGAACTAGCCAAGACCGAGGCCTTCAAGACCTATCACACCAAAAAATTTAGCCGGCTTAGGTTCTTCCTACAGAAGGGCGACTATGAGCGATGAAAAAACGCGTGTTTCAAAACCTTAATAGCGGCTCCAGACACTTGCGCTTGTGCGAGGGTCCTGAGCCTTCACCGGAAGGTTGTGCTCTACCAAAAAGCTAGGCAAGCCTCCTAAATGACTCAGAAAGCCAGCATATGTCTTTTTATCCAAAGGGGATTAATTTTAGATTTTACCATTTTCAGGAATTTTCGCCATGTGCTCTGCAATTAAGGTCCTAACGGAAAATTGGGGTTGTGTTGCCTTCCACGCGCCTGCCCAAATTTAGGAAAATTGCATAAGGAATACAATTCATAGCCTTGTTTTGCCTGCAACTTCGAGCGCAAGTGTTTGGAGCCGCTATTAAGGTTTCGAAACATGTGTTTTTTGATCGCTCATAGTCGCCCATCTGTAGGCAGAACCTAAGCCGGCTAAATTTTTTGGTGTGATAGGTCTTAAAGGCCACGGTCTTGGCTAGTTCCCATCCAAATTTGAACATCCTCAGTTCAGTCTTCGCTGAGTTATGGGGCAAATACGACGCCGAGTACCCGCGTGCCGGCACCTCGTTTTTCTCCATCCTCACTGCCAGTTTTTCCGAATTCAAGCCAAACAATAGTAAAAGTGATAATACCATGTTGAAGGTAATTGTATAGGAAATAAAATATGCCAATATGACCCTGTCAGTATTTACAGTTTTTAAGAAAATCCGCAAAAACCCGGTCAACGTACTTTCGGGCCACCCTGTATATGTAAAAAATCTAAAAAATTATTTTACAGCCAGAAAACAAGAACTTCCATTCAACTTTGACCCAATTTTATGGCCAGGGTATTTTGAGGTATAGTTCTTAACTTTTTCATACGTGCTATTTTTCCAGGCCAAACGCTAGGCAATTCCACCACTTTACACCTTACGGGTACGCGATAAACACTGAATAAATGGCTTTATCAAATCCCGTTTTGAAAAAGGAAAATACAGTCCAATGCGAGTGGGTAAGCAGTAATATGCGAAGATTATGCCCTGGTGACCAGTATTAACAAAGTTATTATGGGAGTGGGGAGGGAGAGGGTTTGGAAAGATTGAGCAAGAGGGTGATGCTAAGAAGATGAGATAAAAATAGACCAGGAATGATGAGGGGGGAACTGTAGGTGTGGCAAAATTAAAATTTCATCAAAAATCTAAGCTTTTAGTATTAGAATCCGTATTTCTATCGAATAAATGGGATCTCAAATTATTGAGCCGCCGAATCGACCATAGTTTGAATATCAGCAATAATTGTGCGAGCCACTTCTTCGGCAAGTTCTTCTTCGCGGAGTGACGATTTGTCCAAATAGCGTCGTAATTTCATCTGAAATTTTTGATATTTAGATGTATTTTGACGTTTTTATACCTTTAATTTACTCTGTGCATTCTCACGTTCCATCGTAAAACTCGTATCGTAAAGAGGCGTGTAGCGTCCCATTGAATCAATTTCAGCAAGCCCGCTAAAATGTAGATATTTTGACAACGTTATTAACTCGTTATACCCAGATTTCTTGACTGGCGTTAAATTCTGTTGGGATGAATATGGGTTCGTCTCCGAGCTGTGGCTATTATGATCTTCAGCAGCCCCCATCGTGCGAGGGTTTTGCAGGTGATTTCTAAACTTGCGCACATAATTTTGCCTATAACATTTTTTCATACGTTAATAACGCTGGTAAGCTATCCCTCCCACTACTTCGATCCAGGCTATCGTCCCTTGACCGCTGGATTTTGCCCCCAATCCTTGGGAGCTCGATCTGAAAATCGAAAGTGTTATTAGTATTCCATGCCATACCGTATTTGCAATAGTGTTGGTGAGGTCGGAAATATATTCCGCAAAGACCGGGGATTGGCGGAAGGGGTGGAGGTATTTCTGGAAGAATGTCGATTGATTGGGAGATGGAATTGGATGGTAGACAAAATATGCAAGGAGTGACGTGCGGGGCGGCGGGGGGAGTCAAAAATATCTTTAAGGAGGTGTATTACTATAGAAAATTGGATAAACTAGGCTTTAAATAAGTATCAGAGCCCTTAAAGTTGATAGAAACCTGCTAAAAAGCTTAGGCATCCAAAGAAAAATTTTCGAATTAAGGAAAAATCTATTAGAAACGCCATTCTCGTTTCTAGAATCTCAGGTTTCTAAAGGAAAGCCGAGAATGCTGTATTTTGGAGCGCCAGGTAGTCATTCGGGGGGTTTGGGGACGTGGAGCGAGAGCAGAGCGAGCGCCGGGCCCCGATGCGGCCGTATTTGTTCAGTTTTTTTTGGGGGTTTCTGTCCATCGGGTGTTGGAGGGGGAGACAGTGGTGTTTGTTGGCCAGCCTGCGCTTATCGTTTGCTGGTCATCGCCGGGGCGTGTCAGATTTTAGAAGAAGTTTTGGAGTGAATAAAATCTTGGGGTATCGTTTCAACGCTAAAAACCCACCTCCTCTAAATATAGCAGCGCCGCGTATTTTTGCGCCTTAAATGCGTCCCGCTGTGGCCGCCCGGAATCGGTGCAAATTCGGGCCTAAAAGTCCTAATTACTTTGTTGAAACCTCCCACCTCTAACGCCATTCGATTCTCATCGGAAAGTGCGATTCGAGAACGTTCGGCTTGCATTGAAAAATATCTAAAACGATTAAAATTAATTTTTGTTAATTACAACCTGTCATAAATTGCCATCGCATCATCGAGCACTTCAGACTCTACCGTATCCGGCCATTGTGACTCCCAAGTATCGACAGCTAGGATCATCTCGACCAGATTCTGTTCTCCCACTTCTACCATGCGCTAAAATCGTTCAATTCAGCGTAAAACATCATTTAAAGTAATTTGTCTACCTCCAAAAACCCGGCGAGCAATGGCTCGACCCGAAGAATATGCATTAATGGACATTCTTCACGTGTTAAAACATCCAATTCGTGCTTTTTGTAATAAATAGAGTTCATAAATTCTGGGTGATATCTGAAAACATAAATTAATTATTGAAATACAGGAATTACCTTAATTCAAAAAGATCCTTCACAAAACTCTGCGCCTCATCAAAACATCGAGGATCAAATCGACCACTTTCTATCACCGCTGAAAATCTTGGCTTCAAACCAGTTACAGTAACCCCTACAAGCCACACGCGCATAAATTTTCTTTGGCAAGCCGATGCTGGTTGGAGATTCTTCATCGAGGTATTTCCCAAAAATGTGTTTCGCATCGAGGAAGCACACTAATGAAATGTATAAATATATTTTTGCGAATGTTCCTACTCTGCTCAGCAGTAGCCCTCGACGCATCAGAAATATTGACGATGGACGCGCGAAACCCGTCGACGTGCATCCAGAATTTGACCAAGTTTAATTTATCTGGAATTTATATCTGAATTCAATTTAAAAGAGTCAAATTACCACAAGAATCCATAAAATTAATAAAAAAGGATAGGGCCGATGTGTCGCTAAGGAGCACCTCCACATTGTAGGCCAGGTTGGGGATCCGGAGTGAATCAGATTCGTTTCGAGCTTCTAAAGGCTTATTTTAATCGATGTATGCTAATTTTTTAATAAAGATACTTTAAAAGTATTTTTAAGCTAATAATTACGATAAAACCCACCCGATTCCGTTACATTCCGTGACGTAGACGCAGCAATATCGTCCAAATCGACGGATGTTTTTCCTGAAAATAATTAGGTGCGATTTTTAGAAGGTCGATTTGCATATTGCTAGCGGAACAAACCTTTAGAGCGGATTTTCTGCAGAAAACTGTTGACGCGACCGTTCATTTTCCATTAGAATTAGTTTATTAGAAAAGCAAAGCTGGTGGAAGGGGCGACGTGTTTCCTCCAAAAACCGGCTGATCGCCCGAGCCCTCCGGGGGGTGGACGAGGAAACAAATTTCCGATGTCCGATTCTCAAGAGGGCATAGAGTGCAGTGTACATGGGTGTCACGCGTAGCCCATGAATTCCGCTGCATAGAAGGAGCTCCCCAGTCAAGCCATCCGAAAACGCATCAAAAATAGTGAGGAAAAGATTGGGTACGAAAACTGGGTGCTAGGTGGCGAGCGCGTTCGTGGTCGCCACAATTTTTTTGAAGTTCAACTAGACACCCTGTAAGCCCCCTCATCGGCCGTTCTTTCCAAGTCTGATTTCCGCAAGAAATCAACCTTGTGTACATGTACATTGTGCACCCGAAAGAGCACCAAAAATAGTACCGAAAACCGTTCCTTCCGAAGCCCCGGAGGCCCTGGTTGAATTGCTACGATTTTTTAAATGTTGCAACTAGGCAGCCCTCGTCGACAAGGCCTTCCAAGCCCGATTCCGCGAGAAATCGACCGTGCGAAATCGCTTTGATGTGTGCACCTGAAAGAGCACCAAAAATAGTACCGAAACCCGTTTTTTCCGAAACCCTGGAGGCCCTAGTTTGATTGCTACGATTTTTTGAAACTTTTATTTTTGATGGTTTACGAACAAAGGGGGGCCCACGTCGATTTTTTTGGAATATGTCAAAAAATTTCGACAAATTCAACACGTCGTTCAATTTGCACCTGAAAGAGCACCAAAAATAGTGCCGAAAACAGTTTCTTCCGAGACGCGAGAGGCCCTGGCTTAGTTGCTAGGATTTTTTGAAATTTTTATTTTTGATGGTTTACGACTAAAGGGGGGACCACATGGATTCTTTCGGAATTTACCAAAAAAATTTTCGAGAAATTCATCACGCACTTCGATGTGAAGCTGAAAGAGCACCAAAAATAGTACCGGAAACCGTTTCGTCTAAAACCCCGGAGGCCCTGGTCTAATTGCTACGATTTTTTGAATGTTGCGGAATGAGTTTTTAAAGTTGCGACCAGCACATCCGAATCAGCGTTACAAAGCTGTACTGACGCGTATAGCTATAACTTTCACGATAGCGAGCGATTCTCACTGGCTGTTCGGATTTAGCATACGAAAGCTCATCTAAAGTAGTGTTGGGAAAAATTCATCCAGGCATTGAGAGAAGGGTGTCGATCGCAAGAGACGGAGAAAGCATGATTTATCCGGAGATGTCGTTGGTGTCTTCGTTGTATTCTTGCCTATAGCTCTATATTGTCTGGCGTGTATCTCTTGTCTTCCAACGTCCATTCCATCGACAAGTCGGCTTCAATGGACAACCAGATCGAAATTGGGAGCTGAAATAGCTCGATGAGCTTATTGGCTCTATTTGCTAGGGGTGTGTTTTACAGAAGGTGGGCGGGTAATCGCCGGGGTATACACGTGGAATTGTTGATTTTGATCGCGCACTCACTCATTTCCGATCAAATCGAGGGCATGTTTTTGGCGTTGAACTTTCATCGGTCTCGGAGCTTTTGGATAATTGTGGAGCCAGAATTTTAACACTGTGGTTGATACTTGTGATTTTATAAGATATAAATTTTTGTGCGTTCCTTGGAGTTAAAAAAACCAAACAAAGTCATCATTACCAAAAAGGCGCGAAAAGAACGGTTTCCTATGTGAAGGAGCCCTATTTACTGTTCGTCTACTCAATCGGCTTACCCCCCAGTTTGCCAAGGTTGTAGGCGGAAACGTTTTGGAAAACCTTTGGAAAACGCCCCTATTGCCCCCAGGACAGTTTCTTTAAGACTTAAACGCTTTTCCCACTTTTCCCTTAAGCTGAACTTTATCTACTATCTTTGTTCGTCAAAATTCCGTTCCTTCCCAAACATCCCCATTTTCGCAAGATATCGAAGCCATTCGGGTCGTAAATATTTCTTTGCAGGCGGAAAATGTCCGAAAAATCGAACCGCTTTTTCCATACGCCGAGCCAGAGCTTTGATATGGGGCTTGGTAAGGTGAAATTCGCTCCCGGGACGGTGACGCCGCCACTCAGGAGGTCGGTGGAGTTGGAAACGATCGAACGTCCTGCATCTGCTGGTAAGTTTTTGGGGTTGGAAATTAGAAATTAGAATTGATGTTGCGTAATCGATTACGATCAGTCCATAAAGGAACGAGGCTTGTTGGCACCTTTAAATCCCCCAGAAACGTGGGAATTTTTTTTTCTAGAAAAACGATCAAAACTTGGCTCGAAAAACTTTCGAGACACCTAAAGACCGAGGATCCAAAACCCTCCAAACCCCTTTAATCCCTGCAAACACATCATAAACCTCAATATCAATATGATCTCTATTTGGTCCTCCCCAATCACCCCAGAGTTGACTCAACAATACATGATGCTCCTCCTCCCTCCCTCCCCCTCTCCAACCCATCGCTTGCGATTACCATATTTTATGGCCCACCTCCATCCCATCCGCCACCGACCATTTTGACAGCTTCGAAACGGGTCAATTCCCCCAAATATCAATATTCGCCTACCACCCACCCCAAAAATGCGCCGCTTTTCTACCGAAGTCGAAAAGACCGCCCAGGAAGTCATTGACCACTTTGAGCGGGCCGTTCAAGGGGTTGAGCACGGTTTTCGAGATTTTAGATATATTTTAATTGCTTTTTAGAACCGCCAAAACCACGACTCGGTGCCGGTCGTGCAAAAGTGCACCCAAGCGACGTGAAGCTCGGCAGGGCGGTCAGCTCACCGTCTCTCGACAAAATCGGTAAGGATTGGGCAGTTTGACCTCAGAATGATCCTGCAAATATTGACATGCCATTAATGTTGATGGGATGATTGTGAGGGTGTTTCTAGGCGAAACGTTTTTCGGCAAAACGCCCGCGAAGTTCGAACCGCGTCTGCCAACGATTGAACAGAAGAATTATCTGCGAACGGATCCGCCGAGTAAGTGGATTTGGATGCTAATTAAGATTGTAGGGGAGATAGGCCGCTTAAGCTCAGGCTCAGGCTGTGGTTGAGGCCTAACAGAGTTTACTGATGCTAAATTTAGTTAGAGTTTCTGAAAGCGCTCAAAAAATGGGTATCAGTTTCAGAAAAGTTACTAATTCATAGAGAAGATAGCGTGCCAAAATTGGCACTACTAGTTCGCCGACTTGCTCTTCTCCCCCCTTCCTCCTTCTCTCTGCTCTCTCTCTCTCTCTCTCTCTCTCTCTCTCTCTCTCTCTCTCTCTCTCTCTCTCTCTCTCTCTCTCTCTCTTTCTCTTTCTCTCTCTCCCTCTCTCTCGCTCTCTCTCTCTCTCTCTCTCACTCTTTCGTTAAGGTCCAAACTTCCTGAACCCAAATACCTAGCCCAATTTGGGTCATCTTTTAGCACACCAGGCCATAATTCGATTTACCCTTTCCGGGGCGCTCGCATTTTCTGTCGCAGACGTAGAGGAAGCCAGTGCAAATGTGGAAATGGCTTTTTGCTGTGCCCCCCCCTCCAATGCCCAGCTGTTCTTTATTTGGAGTCCACTCGAGGGCCCCCCTAGGCCCCTTGGCCCCATCCGCTCCCACCACCCGGCTAGCATTTTGGATCGGTCGCACTGGCCCGCTACAGCACTCAGGAAATGTTACTACTTTTATAGGGCTGGGTGCGGGGTATATGTTACGTTTTTGAAGTTAAAATAGCAAACTTTAGCTAGAAATCTTAGGGACATTGCCGAAATTTTGTTGTCTAATTTCTCGTTGAACTCAATTTTTCAGTTTTTCAATTTTTAGAAATGATAC